GCAGATTGGGCCAATGTTCAGTTTCATTTGATCCAAAGTGCTGAGGATCACTCAATAAGCTCTTTGGGCTTACTGAACTTTATTCAAAAGCAAAACAAGCTCAGGTGTTTCCTGAACTTTGCTAACAAAAATAATTACAGAAAGAGTGGGAAGGAAAATATTCCTGGGGAGACTAGTTTTCCCCATGGCTGTCACAGGCATTTTATAAAAGATTTTTCATACATACAGATTGACAGTGGTGACCCTAAATAATGACATCAAATACGATTCAAGTTGTCAAGTATGACAACTATTAAGAACTCCACCTTGATCTTTAAAAAAAACAAACAAACCCAACAACCAAGAATTGTAGTTCTCGGGGTTGCAGAAGAAAGGGAATAAGGCAATGAACAGTAAAAATGGTAAGACTAGACAGATCTTGCCAAGGAGTTTATAAAGGAGGTAGTCTGACTGTCTTCATAACTGGTCCTTCCATATGGACCCCAGTTCCTGCCCCTCCACCATTTTGCCAACTGCCAGCACCCTCCAATTCTCCATGTTTCCATTCTGTCTCACCTAAGCCATGGTTACAAATTAACTGAGATTCTATAGCTCTTAAAGGGACAAACTAGATGTTAAGTTGTCCACAAGTCCAACATGTGGCTACTGCCATTTTAGAGTGAATTCAGGACATTTTAAAAAGCCATGAAGGCCAGTGCAGAGGGTTCTTGTCCCCCCCCCCCGATACTTTTCCTGCTGTCGAAACACTTGTCCCTCGCAGCTGCTTTTTGGGAAGCAAGAGTTTCAAGTCCTGGGCTATTCAAGATTGGGCTCTTGCAGAATTTTTAAAGGGGCCAAGTTCAGCTCTAAAATAACAGCAGCATCTATAGGTCAGACCCATGGATGCCATAACGTCTACCTTGGCTCTAATTCTAATGAAAGCTTGCATGAATGAATAGCTCAAACAACCAAGCAGTATTTTCATAATTTGGTCTGCTCAAACTGAATTTGCAGAAACTGGATTATCTTGGATTCTGACACAGAAAACAAACCAGCATATATAAATTTTAGAGAGAAGCAGTTTCTTTCATAATAGCACATGTTCAGTTTACAGTTTCTTTCCACGGTATTAAATCTGAAAGCCCACATGGGGCTTCTTGATCCTGACCTTGGGTGAACTGTGGAAGTCTTCGGGCACTGCTGCTGCCACTAAGATTTCTAGAGCAATGGGGGAGCTTCCAAATTAATTCCTCAGGTGCCTGTCAGTTTGGAATGGCTATATTTATCTTGGGCTCCCTTGAACTCTCAATGGAATTTGATTTCCAGCTGTCAGATTTTTTCCCCCACCGGGAGCCCATTCTCATGTTCTCGCCCCAAACAAAGACAGCTATTCAGAGCTTTGCAGCAATGGGGGATATCTAAAATAACATGGGCTTTAATGCACCATGAACAAAAAGAACAGTTTTCGTTAAGTTAAAAGATGCTCAACAAAGAAAATTAAGTTAGAGAAGTTTCTGGTTAATTTTCTTGCATCTAACCATGATGTGGGCCTTTCCCCTCAATTTCATCCCACCCCCACCAAGCACGAGTGCTTATGGCAAGAGACATAAAAAGGAGATGTAATGACAGAACAAGTCAATAGAAGTGCAATATCCAATGTGCTATAAAGCAAGAGTAGTCATTTGGAAACAGATGAGCATCTGGGTGGGCATTTGTAAAGTTTCATGTAGCACAGATTTCTTTTTGCATGAAGGCTTCTCAAATAAATGGTATTTATAAAATGAATCAATTGCTGCTCTGCATGGGAGAATTAAAAAAATTAAATTCTGCAACTGAATTCCATCAATAGCATGACCTAACAGATCTCCTCTGGACTGATTGTTCCAAAAACACAATGTCACTGCTGTGAATGCCCAGACCTGAACTCCACAAGTTCTCCTCTTGCAAAGAAGAAACCCTGAACAAGATCTCTCCAGCAGATCCCAAAGACAGCCAGATAGGAAATGTTTCCACGGATATATTGGGTGGCAGCCCAGTCATGGTTGGCAAGATCACGACAGACACCTTGAAGCAGGTTAAAGAGGGCAAGGAGCTCTGACCTTGATAGCCCAGACTACCCCAATCTTGTCATCTCTCAGAAGCTAAGCAGGGTCTGCCCTGGTTAGTACTTGGATGGGGGACGGCCAAGGAAGTCCAGGGTTGCTACACAGAGACAGGCAATGACAAACCACCCCTTTTTGTCTCTTGCCTTGAAACGCTTTGGGGTTACCCTAAGTCAACTGTGATTTAATGGCAAAAAAGTAGCAAGTATCTAATGCAAACGAGCTAAAACAGGTTTAATATGTTCCCTGTGCCTGGCCTGTCTTAGTATGCAGACAACTGCATTCTGCACTAGCTAAAATTACCAGCCTCTGGTAGGCCAGGTCTAAGTTAAGTATGAGAAAATCTGGCCTTCTGAGCTTTCTTGGTGAGCTGATTAGAAGCTCTTGCCTACTGCACAAAGTAGGATTGTCTCCTCCCATGCTGTCCAGCCCCCCAGTTAAGATCTGTCTCCCAAACCCTGATCTCTGTGCCCCGGCCTTCACAGGTGAAATGGGTGGTGGTGGTGGGACTAGAGACAATATTCCCTCTAAGCGGCACAGTCTTGTGAGCAAAAATTCTACTTTGTGAGCTACTGGCATTAAAGCTGTGAGCAAGCGATTTGGCTACTGCATAAATTAGTTTGCTCTGGAGCCATCCTTCCTGAGCCAAGACAAAAATGTGTGGGCTGGAGGCTAAAAAACTGTGAGCTAGCTCACACTAACTCAGCTTAGAGGGAACACTGGAGACAGGCATTTTCAGCGCAACGTCTCATCTTTGAAATGCCCTCCCCCTGGAGGCTTGCCTGGCACCTACCATACTACATTGTCTTTTAAGTGCCAGGCCAAAACATTTCTTTTTATCCATGCTTTTCACTAAAAGATTTCATGTTTCAGCTTTTTAATAGTCTACTTTTGGTTTGATTTAAGGATATTTCTTAAGGCGCTCAGAGTTTGTTTTATGAACCTGGCTTGTTTTTAATGGCTTGTTTTTATGGTGGTTATTTATGATACTTTTATAGTATTGGTTTTGCTTGTAAGCCACCCCAAACAGGACTTGAGAAAGGTGGAATATGAACTTCACACAACAATAGCACCAGCAGTAGCTCCAGTTCCAGGCTTAGTTCTGGCTGCTACTCCTGTCCCGGTTCAAGTTCCTGCTCCAAGCCTCTGGCTCATGACTGTGAGGACTCCAAGCTAGAGAACGCACATGCTAGGTCTGCTTTAAAACAGAGCTCAACAGAAGTGATGCATCATGCTGTAAAATGTTCTTCCTGAAAGCTACCTTTCAATGCAGAGTAACTGTTACTACTCAGCATGACCAGTCTCTTTCTTCTTTCTGAACTAAGAGTAATTACTTCTCCACTTCTGAACTGCAATGTGAATTATTCTCCCAGTCCCATTCTCCAAGCCCCACTGACAGCACAGAGAGGAAAATAACATCAGTGGCTTGCTCAAAGGAACCCAATCTTAGCTAAGTGCCAAGGACAAATCATGGTTATTTAGGTGCAATGTAATAAGATACGTTTGGGAAACAATGCACATGCTGATCTTTCTGCAGCACTAAAAACACTGCTGCAAAATTATAGCTCCATGTGCAGTTTGCATTTACATCTTCATTCTTGCTTCTGTAAATTATCTATGGATGCTGTGAGCATTTCAAATTTTGGTTAGAAGAATGTTCTCCCCAGATATAGAGCAGTAAAGTTTCTTGCAATACATTAGTCATTGCTGCGTAAACACCCATGAACCCATGAAGCTGCCATATACTGAATCAGACCTTTGGTCTGTCAAGGTCAGCACTGTCTGCTATCCAGGGTCTCAAGCAGAGGTCCTTCTGATCTGTTTAGCTGGAGACACTGGGAACTGAACCTGGAACCTTCTGCATGCAAAACAGATGCTCTACTACTGAGCCATGGCCCTTTCCCATGCATTTTCTACCCAAAGATGTAGTTCAAGTTCATACGTGGGAGGGAACCTATATTGTGCAAGGATTAAAATTATCAAGGACAAAGGGACACAAAGAAAGCGTAGTAAAGAACAGGATAACATAAAAATGATTCTACTGGATCACTCCATACTCTACCTATTCCACCTGCAACAGTGACAAGCCAGACACCCTGAGAAGCACACAAGCAGGCATTAGGAAAGCCAGCATGGTGTACTGTTTTGGACTGTGAAGATCCAAATTCAAATCTCTACACTCGCACAAAGTTTTCTGGGTGACTTGGTGGCCAGTCACTATCTCTCAGCCTACCTACCAGGACTGTTACAAAAAGAAGAGGGGATTGTACACAAACCCAGATGAATGGTAGGATGTGGTTATCCAGCTTCAAACCAAGCATTCAGATCCCAGTTACAAAGTTTAGTGTTCACTGTGGCTACAGTAAGTGCTGACATAACACTTGAACCCATGACTAAGACTTCATTGATGAGGGAGGGAGGAATTCAAAGTAAAGAGGAAAGGGGAGGAAGAGTGAAATGTTGTGGCCTGATCTAACCAATTAGGACACTGAAAGCATTAGACCTACACTGGCCCAATGCAGATCTACCTACTAGTATTAGGATAGCTTTCTTCCACTCCTTTTCTTAGTCATTCCTAGCAATGAATTTTCCCATGTCATTGCTGCAAAACAGTGAGCCAATATTCTGCTTTTTAAACTATGGCTTCAGTATCTGTTCTGGCTTATTTATAGTGCAGTCCTAAGCAGAGCTACATCCTTCTGAATCCACTAAAGTCAGTAGAAAGGTGTAATTCTGCTGTTAGACTTGACTCCAACAACTGTTTCTGTCTGCTCCATTCTACGTAATCAGGAAATGCAGAACAGTGGAGGATATATGGTAATATAATGAAAGAAAAAGTCATCACAAGTGGTTTTGTAAGTTTCATTTTTTTTTCAAGCAAAAAACATAATTTCAGGAAACAAGCAAAATCAGCCTTACCTTTGCATTTCTCTTCCTGGCTTCCCTTCTCGCTGCCTTTTCTTTTAACCTTTTCTCCTGTAAGTGAAAAATCAAACCAATTAAGCTAAGTTGTAAAAGTAACAGTATTTTTATACAAAGAGTATCTGCTTGCCACTTACCGTTTGCATTCAAATGTAAAATAATACATGCATGACTGAAGAAAGCTCTAATTTTGCCTTCATTTTAACAAGGTTTATCTTCTCCATTGAGATTCTGTAACAGCATCTATTTGGCCCGCTAAGGAAATTCTCTTTCTAGCCCTCTGCTCTCATCATTGTCTTTCTCTTCCATTGCACCAAAAGACCCATTAAGCGAAGGGCAGGTTATCTTTTTATTTTATTCATTTATTTGAATGTCTATCTGGCCCTTTCCCCAGATGTAATATACAGTAGTTTTAAGTCTCTTTAATGTCAACATGTGTACCATGCTGAAGTCATTATACCATTACTCTAAAAAGCCAGCTTGGGGGGGGGGGGGAGTCTCTATGGTATTATAAAATCTCTGTGTACATTTTGTGAGACAGCGTGATAATGTTTTGATTAATTTCACCCAGATGATATTTAGACATTTTCCATCCTGCTTCCCCCCCCCAAAATGGGGACGTAACAATGCTCAATTACCGTGCAGTTGCTCCTAGCAAAGCATTTTTATTGTCAATAGTATTTTACCTAATCAACAACATTTCACCTTCCCTATATATTGTATCTACTCTACATTACTGAACATCAAACCACCCACTAGCTTCCACAACCCACGAGCAATCTGATATATCTGAGCAGAGCAAGACCGCAGCAGCATCCACCCCAGAATGGTCAATATAATTTTTATTTTATTTTTAACAAGGCCCATATCGATCCTAGTTTCCCTTCTTGTAACCCAAGCTTTGCCTGTCCTGTTTTGATCTTTTGTGACCATTTCAGTGTGTGCAAATGGCCGAGCGAAGAGCCGCTGTGTGCAAAGATACCAACGGAAGATATTGTTGAGAAAGCAACAACACCGGATTCTTTATTTTTACATCTTTAAAAATGTTAATATCCTATTATTTTGGTAAAAAGAGCCAAGATGGTTTACTACCAGTAAGTCAAAAAATGTAATGTAAACCCCCCTCCTTTAAAAAAAATCATCAGAAAAAGCAGAAAAAAGAGAAGTAGCAAAAACAATCAGAAACAAGTCAGCTGTCAACTAGAGGGGCAAACAACCCTGTTATAATGTTTTAATTGTAAATGTTCTTATGTCTTCAGACATTTTTAGCTCTGGTTTTAGTGGTATGTTGTTGTGGCTGGGGTGGTTTAAAAGGTTTTAAGATGTGACTTTACCAGTATACTTTAATTTGTAAGTTGCCTTGGTGGCCCTTGTGAGGGGAGAAAGGTGGAATAAAAAATGAATAAAATTAATACATAATGTGGTACCTAAAAGAAAACAGAGTTGGTATTATAGAGGTATCGAGGGGAGAGTTATTCTGAACTGGGCATCACTACAGAGAAGGCCCTGTACCTAATGGGCAACTGCTAACCTCAGAAAGTGGAGACATCTTGCAATGGGTCTTAACAAATGGACATGCTTTAACGATGCATCAAAAGTGTTCAGTGGTCCACAAATGATATCAATAATAATAGAAAACATCTTATATACTTCAGGGACAAGATCAGACTTCAGCTGTTAGTGTCAAGATAACACCACCAATCCAGGAAGGTGAGAAAGGATTTTTCTGAGGAAACGGAACCAAGCTGCCTAAAATGCCTACAGGATGCTGCCCCATAGTGAGCCCATATCAATGCCCTGAAATTTAGAGAGGGTAGCAGTAATCTCAGGCAATGCAGATTAGTGACAACACACTGAGGAGTGGGGGTGAAATTTTGCTGACTCTTACCTGGGTGCTGAGATTAGAATCAGAATAGTAAGGTTTGTTTCAAAGAGGGGGCACTACGACTTCAAAATGTCTGCCTATCATGGGGACAAAACACAGCAAACCTGAGCTTGGGAAACCCAGACGACTGTTTCTCCATTTCAAAATGTCAGGGGTGGGAGAAGGAGAAGGGAAAGAACCACAAAGTGCAGCAGCGAGCCAGAGGGTGGGTGCTTCACTTTCTCCTGTCCTGCGCTTTTTCTCCTGAGACTTCCTTTCCTCTCCTTTGGTCACTATGTTCCTAGCAGCAGGGCATGGGGTAAGTGTTTGCGGAGGAAAGCATAAGCGTGCTCACTTCTGAAATTTCCTGTTCTCCTAGAGCTTTGCACAGCAGGAACAGCAACCTAGATTCCCAAATCCATGCTTGCCCCACCCGAAGCACACACACGCACGTACCAGTGTCCCCTCTAAGCTGAGTTAGTGTGAGCTAGCTCACAGTTTTTCAGCCTCCAGCTCACAGATTTTTGTCTTCGCTCAGGAAGGATGGCTCCAGAGCAAACTAATTTATGCAGTAGGCAAATCGCTCACTCACAACTTTAATCCCAGTAGCTCACAAAGTAGAATTTTTGCTCACAAGACTCCACTGCATAGAGGGAGCATTGGCACACACATACAAACACATGTCATTTCTTACATGATGTTTGTTTGCTTCCGCTCTACAGAACGGAAGAGGAAAAGAAAACCAGAATAACTTCAATTCCAGATGAGGCAGCCAGGACCTAGCAATCTGCTCTTTCCCCCACCATCTCTCCAAAAAAGCATTCCACGGAATAGGTCATTTTTTGCTACTCCAAGCAGCACAACTGTGGCTTGTCCAATTCTGCTGCATTTCATATTAAGCGCCTTGCCCCTCCAAGCCAATACTCAATTTTCTACCTGCTCCAATCCAATTTCCCCACGACTCTGTTCTGACCTACTTTGCTATAGCCTGTCAACCTGTGTCACTTGCCCATTCCTCTGAAAAACTACCCGCTCCCTTTCAAATGCTACCTTTGAAAAGGAAGGGGGAGGGGGGGAGAAACCCAGACAGGCTGACAAACCAGGACTGGATGGAAACAGATTTGAAAGCAGACAACATGAAAAATTAAACAGAATAAAGATTTCACTAAGCACAGGGTTATTTTGTCACCCTGCGCTATTTCGGCAACATGCATTTGTCTCCCTCATCGCGTCAATCAAGTATAATTGAACCAAATGGAAAAGGCAGGGAGCAATCCAGCGGCCATGCCATTCATCTGCAACGCAAGCGTTGTTCATTTTAACAGGGCCTGTGCAAGCCCCACTGAACTGAGTGGAAGTTACAAAGCAGCCGTGCCTGGCAGACTTTACCCAGAGATGTCTAACACCTAGCTAGACAATATTTGCCACAACCTGGATAGCCCAGGCTAGCCTGATCTCATCAAATCTCAGAAGCTTAGCAAGGTTGGCCCTAGTTAGTCATTGGATGGGAGATCATGAAGGAAGTCCAGGTTTGCTATGCAACGGCAGGCAAAGTCAAACCACCTCTGTCTGCATCTTGCACTGAAAACCCTATGGGGTCACCACAAGTAGGCTGTGAATTGACAGTCAGAGAGAGAGAGAGAGAATATTGGGGGGGGGATCACGAAGTCACATTTCACGGAAGCAATGTATGTGAAAGCAGGATAATGCACTTGAGAGAAGGGCAAATGGCACCATAATACTTTGAATAATTCATTTAATTCATTTAAAAATAAGTAGATTGAAAACACAAAGGGACGGTACCGGCTTGACAGAAACTGTGTTAGATGCCTGCTGTAAGAGAGCAGAAGGCTTTTTGAAGAGATTTCATAGAAAGGTTTGTGTGAGGACACACACAGCCCACACTACAACTGCTTATATGACTGAGATACACTTGCTGGACAAAAGGAGTTTTAAAAAAGTCTACACTTTGAAACAGAAAACAATATGACTGTTTCAACGAGATTCCCAAGCCGGAAAGGCATTTATAAAATAAATCTCACCAAAAGTAGACTTTAAGACAGCTGGGGGGGGGGGCCCTGAAAAAATCTCCCAGCTGAAGCTGGAGCTTCACTGAGCCAGAAACATGGAGTTTGGGGTAGACCATAGGGTTTCTAGCCTCCAGGTGGTAATCAACAATAAACAGTAATGATGATAAACACGGTCTAATGTTGCAGACAGAATTAAAAAAACAACCGCGAACAATTGTATTAATTTCAAATAGATATTATTCATTGCATAAAAAAGAACAGAATTTTGTATGCACTTCAAATAGACATTATTCATTGCATTTACAAGTTGTTTGACTGTTGTGGGGCCTGATGTTCACGGTTGTTTTTTTATTCTGTCTGCAACCTCCAGGTGGTGGCTGGAAATCTCCTGGGATTACAACTGATCTCTGGGCAACAGAGATCAGTTCACCTGGAGAAAATGGCCACTTTGGAAGGTGGACTCTATGACATTTATACTCCATTGAAGTCCCTCCCCTTCCCAAACTCTACCCTACTTATGCTCTACCCCCAAAATCTCCAGGTATTTCCATACTCGGAGCTGGGAACCTTAATCAATGGCCAGGGCAGGGTTGCGATTACTGTAACAGACCAGGTCAGGAGAAAGACACTCAGAAACCCCCACTTTGCCATGAAGCTCGCTGGGTGACTTTGGGCTAGTCACTATCCAAACCTAAACTGCCTCAAGGGGTAGCAGAGGAGGAGGAGGAGGAGGAGATTGGATTTATACCTCGCCCTTCACTCAGAGTCTCAGAGCGGCTTAAAGACTCCTTTCCCTTCCCCTCCCAACAACAGACACTCTGTGAGGTAGGTGGGGCTGAGAGAGCTCTTTCCAGAACTGTCCTTGAGAGAACAGCCCTGACAGAACTATGGCTTGCCCAAGGTCATCCAGCAGCTGCAAGTGGAGGAGTGGGTAATCAAACCCAGTTCTCCCAGATTAGAGTCCACACACTTAACCACTTCACCAAAGGTGGACCTCTTTATAGTGTCTTGAGCTCACAGGAGGAAGGGGCAGTAGAAAAATATAATAAATGACATTTAAATTTAGCTAAGTAGGTAGTTCTTATTTTAAAACAAGGGTTGTATCCAGATTTAGCTTGACAGCACTCAAATCTCCAGATTTTTTTCTGAGCCAGTGTAAG